TTCATACCTGAACCTCTGACTCTGCTGTTGGAGAAACGTCCTCCATTTCCAACTCTCCATCCACATCTTCCAGCACGGTTCGATGCCTGTCGATCGGTTCCTCCCCTTCGGTTGAACGCGTGGTGTTGATGGCACTCACAGACTCCGTCTCCAACTGCCTGCTCCCATCTTCGCTGCCTTCCTCCTCGTCCTCGTATAACTGAGGAATGATGGAAAACCCGTCCGGCAAACTCAACGACGCATTGCTGGGCAGTGAACACAACCACCGTTCATGAAAGCGCACCACTTGCACGACTTTCCAACATAAAACCTCTACACTAAATTCACGTCTTACACCTCACGCCGCACCGGACCTTACGAGCTTCGACCACAAAACCTCAAACACTTTCGACGGTTGCCACCCTTCACTGTCATTTCAAGCCGCACAAGCTTACACGCTCTGTACCACCCCAAGCCTGGCCATGAACACAACATTCCACTTCGACTCCATGTACAAAAATCCCACGCGCCTCAACAATCGCATCACCCACAAAGCGGTGGAAAACCGCAACATCTACCTTCGGCGTTCTGATTTAGTATACTCAACTCAATAGCTCGTCCAAATGAGGTAATTGCTCACTACATAATTACACAACGCGATATGGAAACAGGAGCATTACCTTCCATACTCGTCAACTAGCATGCCATCCATGTCCCTTATAGGATCGTCCACTGCACGCTCAGATCGAGAAAGTCGGCGGCCACCGTTTCCAGGCAACCCCTTGTCGTCATTGTGCGACTCTATTTCAGTCATGAAATGTCGCAAAACAGACTCCGACATCACCTTCCTTTCCAGCCACAAGTTCAACACCTGCAACGCACCACGACTATCGGTTACTTCCACAAACGAACCAGCCGTCAAAAGATTCCTTGCTTTACAACCGTCAAGACGCTGTTCACACAGACCCCAACACGGTGACCACGCACAAGGAGCTTAGTAGCTACCCATGCTTCACCACGCACCGCTCAAATAATCTCTCTATTTCACAAGTTCCCACCCACCCCTGACACACCGATAAAAGGAATGAACGAGTGCATGCTTGGAATGTATGTGTACCTACACCACCAAAGAAAATGCACACGAAATACAACGCCCCAACAGCCACCATCATCACCGCTTACCTTCAGACACTGCTTTCTATTCTCACGCGCCCCACCCCCTGGTGGGGCAGCTGCATTAAGTATTCGAGGAAGAAAAGATTGCACGATCGGGAGGTATGCCACCACTGATGCGTCCCAAACACACGAACACAACTCATCAGCACCCACACAACCCAACGCTTGCGATAACGCAATCCATCAAAACCACTCCGCCAACAATACATCACGCACGCTCTCAGACACGACATGCGGCGCTATTGCCTACAAGCACCCACCTGTGCACCCCACAAACAACCTACATCCCACACGATGCACAAATCGAGAGCGTCGCTACCACCCCGTACGAGAAAAACGAGCAACGCAAATCATAAAACTACGCCTTGCTTTCGGTATCAAGGATTACATCCACAAACCATAGCAAGGAAAGCTTACCCTTCTGCGTATGGGCGACTTGAGTGACAGAATCTAGAAGAAACCAATAGTCTACCCGCCGATGAAAGCTGGGTTCATTCTCCAATTTCCGTACAATCACCTCAACAATCTACAAAAAGCTCAGGTACCGCTCTCAGTAAGCCTCAACGCCAGCCTTTTCCATCAACACTAGTAAACATGAAGCCGCCTAGTAATCATAAATATCCACGCATCCTATGTGACAATGCATCACCGTTAGCACTACGTTCACCTTTACCTCACACTAACATGCTCCTACAACAACTCCACCTCACGCTAACACCCACCTTCAACTCCCAACTTTACCATCTGCTTACAAGAGCACGCCGGAACAATCAAATCACGCTGCGCCACAACACCGCTGCCATATAACTAACCTGCTCCGCAATGCCGTGCTTTGCACAATCCATGGCCTGCCGCGTCGTGCGCCCTATGCTGTCCTTTGTGCGAGAAACTGTCTCCAACATACCCACAAAGGTATCCCGTGCAATAGTGGCTTCCGTATCCACCGCTGCTTCTCCGTATCGAGTGTACTCCAGATCTTGCCTTTTGTGTCCTTCATGACTCAAGACACCGCCCTGCCCATGTTGAACTGGTGGAGTCAGCCCTGAACTCCCTCTTCTTTGTGAAGGAGAAGGGCTGCATACCATGCTGTTTGGAAACTTGTCGAGCTCTGCAAACACGAACGGCCCAGACCCGCCTGCACACATCCCCAAACATCTCTCAGTGCAACCGCCGACACCGCAATACACCCTTCGAGGTGCGCCGTCAACTGCGTAACCTTCAGAACCACAAGGACGGTACAAGAACCACAAATTGTCACCTGTGAAGTTCTGCTTGGCTCGCTGCTTAACTTGAGCTGCTGCGATCAGAGCCTTCATCGAGGCAGATGAATCCCCCTCCCTCTTCAGCGCATTCCTCTTCTCGTTAGCGAGAGCAACCCTGATTGCACCAACAACACACCTCTCGTGAGCCCGCACACAATCCACAGACTCCATTCAACTCCCCTTCGTCACTAACGTTCATACATCCACCACTCCGCACGCCACGCACGCACGATAGGACGAAAACCTCACCGCCCTTTCCAACCATGACAACAACAAAAACCAAAGTAGAAACACGACTTCAGGGCGACAAAGTTGCTCGTTCCACGAGTTCCAAACAGTGTCACCACATCTACACTACGTGAAGCATTCAGTGATGCTCAATGCGGTGCAGCACGCACGTTGAACACCCACCGCTCTCTCCAAAAACTCATCACGTCAATGCACACGCTCAAAATCCCTATCAAGGATCGGGGCCCTCACACCCAACTGCGTGCGTCACTCCAACCGCATCAGCGTACGAAATGATGCTCAGGTACTCACGCGTTTCTTATACTTGAATCCTCGAAACTTGACTTTGCATGGGATGGGAACGCCTCTGTCCCCCCGGACATACTTGTGCTCAATTTGCCACTTTCGGACCCGCCCCAATGCCCCTTCCGCTTCTCCGTCGCCACTTCAAAGCTCGATCTCGTGGGACCAGGACTCCTCGATTTGGAACTCTTCACTCTACCTTCTGACCTCGCGGTTTGCACCTTGCTCGGATCCCCACTTCCGCTGCGCTTTCTTGGTGAATCTGTTGCCTGTGCGTCTTTCAGGGGTGGATGTTTCTTGCTTTCTGTCCTGTCCTCGACACTCGCGTTATCGTGCCCGCTTTCTACTTTCTGCTGCTTATGCCCTCCGTCTGTGGACTCCCAAGCGTGTGGCGCCGCCGTCGCATCCTTCAAGGACCCACCCACACTCCCGGCCTCGTGCCCAAGCGCAGATGTTCCCTCTCTATTCGCACCCTCGGAGGAAGCGGCTGCATCCACATCGTTGCCGTCTTGGTTACAAGCCACTCCATTTCCTGCCTGCTCCCTGGATTCCGCCGCGCTTGCTGTAGCGGCTTCCGCTTCACAAGCACTCATCGCTGCGTACGCCCGATGCCTTCTTTTCGAAGGAGGGAGGGCAGCCTCGCCATCCAGAGCCGCTTTCCTCATCCGGTCCTTGTCTGCTTTCGGGGGTAGACTGGTTCCCCTTTCTCTGGACTTGCCATCTCTGGGCGAATCCTTCTCGCCATTGCTTCCATCCACACTCGAACGCCCGATGGACACATGTTTCTGCTTTCCTTCCGCCGACTTGTCTTCCGACGCGACCATCTTAGGCCTCTTCGACAAAGGAAGGCTTTTTTCATCCTTCTCCACTTTCACGCTAGTCCCCCCATCACCCTTCTCCCCTCCCGCACTCCCTTCCTCCCCTTCGCCCTCGCCATCGGACAACCTTCTACGTTTCACAGAACCCTCCCCTTTCACCTCAACTTTCACCTTCGATCCTCCAAAACAACCTGGAGAGGAGCTTGGAACTTTCTTCTCCGAGTCATCAACACCGCTTCTCACGTGCTCCCCCAGCTGCTTCGGTGTAGCCGAATGCTTCTTTACTTCCTGCAAAACCATGAAACCTTCAATACCAAAACTCGCCACTTCCCTGCACAACATTCACTGCACTCATTCCCTTTGACTGGTGCACGGCACACCACCTCCCAGACTCCGCATCGCTGTCACTCCACCATGTACCGATCACAGCGGGACCACCAAGGAGCAGTATTCACAAACACCTCAGTAGCACCTGTAACGAGGCATCGCCCTGTGGCGAGTGCGGCCTCGAAAACTTGCACATCGCTCATCCAAAACCGCCACCACAAATCAAGGTTCATAATCCACCATTACTCCGAATTCCAAACAAACAATGACACCACAAAACGGAAACCACAAGTCCTGACAACTCGAGACCCACCTCCGAACCCTTGCTCGACACTTGCGACTTCTTTGGTTCTTTCTTCAATCCGCCCACCTCCGCCGCCACTTCCCTCACGTCCTTCTTCGCCTCCAACTTGCGTTCACGTTTCTCCCCGCCCAAAACCTCTCCCTTCACACCAGGGCTGTACATGTCTTTCTTCTTCAAATCAGACCCCTTCCTCTTGTGCCCATTGTCGGACGGAACCCTCTTTACGACGCTGTCATTGTCCTTTCCAGGTTTCCCGATGCCTTCATGTGCACCTCTTCCACTGCCCTTTTCCATTTCAGATCTCTTCGCCCCAGCATCTGGCTTTCTAACCGCGTGACCACTCGACTTGCTGTCCTGTCCCACTTTACCTTGTTGATTGGCTTTGGACGATCTGCCCACTTTGGGTTTCATCCTCTTCGGAACATCGCTGGCTTCGGCATGCACAGCAGCTGAGTCTTCCACGATTCCTTGTCCAAGGTTTGACGCCAACCCATCCACAACACCAGGCAATACATCTTTGTTAATTTTGTTCCGGTTCTTCTTCCTCCCGTACTGGTATGTCAGCACCTGGGTCTCGCCTTCTGGCATCGCGGCCTTTTCCTCCACACCTTCCTCGGAAGTCTGATTAATTCTCACCAACGCGTTTCCGAAAGCACGCCTCCTCCCTCCAACCGACTCCGAGTCAGGCTTTTGAAGCTCTACAAACGGCTTCAACCCTTCCCCTATCGCGCCATCGGCACTCGCTTCTTGTTCCTGCCCTCCTCCATCCGAATCGTTCCCTGTCTGTACACCGCTATCATTGTAGCGTCGCCTCTCGCTCCAATCCTTGTCGCCATCGCCATCTTCGACATCCTCCTCACCGTTTCCCTCGTTGAAATAAACGGACTCGCATTGCTGATTCAATGTCACGACGGGCATGGGATACCTGTCCTGCTTAACCTCCTCCGTAAAACCTGTCTCCCTGTCCACCGCGTCCTCTTCTCCACCGTCCGAGCCAATATCCCGAGGACCGTCGTCATCGGATACCTCCCCATCCTCTTCTGCGGAGTCCTTGGGCGAGGCCCCTGCCCGCTCATCTTGCAAAGCACATATTTCCTTCACGGCGAAAATGAACTTCTTGTCCGCAGTTTTCTTCAGCGACTTCTGAACAGAGGCTTCTCTCTGATCCGCATCAAACTCCGACAGCTCAACCGGCAGGCACCAACCACTGCCGCAGCACCAGCACTACTTAGCATCTCTACGGCCGCAAAGAATGTGAAAAATACTGTGCGACAAAAGCACGGACGAAAAACTCACATTTGTTGTCCTGGACCAAAATAGGTCACGTAATACTTGCCAGCGTGTTTCCCTTGCGTCTCCAATCTTCCAATCTGCCAACGTCCAGTTCCAAAATGAAGTCAAAATTGTGATCCACTGCCCCGGCACGCCAGGGACAAGAACTACAGTGCCCAAATGGAGTAGACATGGAAGGAAATAGCCGGATGCCCCCGAAACAATGGAACCTCCGCCAACACAGCAGAACCCCGTCGCTAGCCGAACCATGACAACAAACTACCCACTACGCCTGCGCGCGCGCGCAGGGTCACCTCTCTCAGCTTTACGACACCGAACACATGGAACAACTTCCAGCCCACTCCAATCCAATCCAACCCTCGCCTGGTCCGACAGTACGGTCAAACTTCCAGGAAATCGACGACACCACCCGCCTACACAACCCACAACCCTCCCACGCAACCGTGCAAACTCGCCCCGACGGCCGCGACGATAATGACACCGCTCCCCGGCCAGCGAAACAAGAAGAGAGGGTCGAGAAGGAGCCAACACATTCTATCCGGCTCCAAGGCCAATTCCTCACGCCATGTTTCTCCCTGCTTGCGAAACAAACTTTGCCGCTCAAATATCACTCAAGCCTCTGCACGAGATTCTGGTAATGCTCTTTCGCTGAATCATGATAACGCACCTGCGCGGGCCACGCCGGCCAACCCTTGACTTTTGCCAGCACGAGGTCACCCACGTTAAATTCCCGGGACGGTGCCTCCACGGAGGCCCCCACAGCAGCGCCCCCTGCTTTGGGAGCTCTCCCGCCTCCTCCTTTCTTCTTCGCCATAACCTGGGGTCACATCTGCAAGCCTGCCCGCTCCCGCCGAGGTACAACCTCGCAGCCCTCCCTCAATAGTTGCACTCCAAAACCCTAACCGTGATTTCGAACCTCCGCCCTAATCACCACAAGGAACCCCCACCGCCTCGTGGTCGCCCCTACACACACACCCGATACGCACTCACCGAAACCGCGCCAACCATTGCACCTGCACTCACGCCCCCGACCCTCAAAACCTTTCGCCCTACACACCTACATGCGCTCTTCGGAATTACGAGGCGGGAGAAAAAACTTTCGAAACGCCCGAACATGCACCCAACCGGAACCACCTCGCACACCGAACCTCGCCCCGTCCTCCTCCTCCCAGCACCCCTCATCGCAAAACCCGAACCGCGAGGGGCCACATCCCGCCATCTCCTACATGCCAGCCAGACTCCCAAACAGACCAAAAAACAATTCCACCCCAATCACTCACATTCCTTCGCCTCGCGCAATCGCCTGAATTCCCCTCGCACGCTCCCGCGAACGCCTTCTGCCCCGTAAACCAGCAACTCCAAGAACTTTTGTGCCCAACACCACCCGACCTCGCACTTGTCGCGCCAGAGCAGCAGCACCCGAAGCCAAATGCGACCAAATTGGGGACGGAGGGACCGCAACAAATGGACCGAGCAATGCAGCGGAGATCAGCAAGGTGGGGGGGGGGGGGTGAAAGGAGCGGGGACAGTCCCGGAGGGAATCGGATTGAGAGACAGGGGTGGGGGGAGAAAGAAACCCTAACCCAGACAGAAGAAAAAGGGCCAAAGTGAATACAAAACAAAGCAAGAAGACAAGACAAGCAAGCAAGGAAGCTGTATGGCGATGATTGAAGGTGCTTCTTCTTCTTCTCGCTCCACGTTGTTGGTGGTGTCGTTGTTGTTGTTCCTCCTTCATGGCGCTCTTCCCTCCCTTGGCTTCATTCTTCGTGTCCCTTTGGCGCCCCCCGCCCAGCCGTCCTCCATGCCACTCATTCATCCGCTCTCTCCTGATTTCATTCATCTTGCTTCCTTGCTTTGCTTTGCATTGGAGGACCCACCCCCATTCCCACTTCACTTCACCAACGCTTGCTATCACATTTTTGGTCGAGAGTCCCACACCATCATCATTTCCCCTCCTCCCCCATTTGGTTTTCAAATTTTTATATTGTTTTTTTCAACACATTCTAATAGTTCAAATGTTTATCATAAATTTAGTTTAGAAATATGTAGGTGGGAGTAGCTTTGTTTGTAGAAGATGCGATTGGAATAGTTAATTGTGAATATTTAAATCAATATTGACAGGTCTAGATACCATTTTTATGTGTTTTATAAATATGCGTATTGTTAGGTTAGTTTCTTTTTCATTTTGATTCTAAATACACTTTTTTTTTGGACAAAAAGTATTTTAAATCATTTTTATTTTCTTCTTTTGGTGTCTACTTTAGTTGAAAATATTAATGATTACATGCTATTTATTCCATTCAGTGTGGTATAAAAACTACATCATCAATATTATGTAGAAAATTCCAAGTGTTTATGCAATTTTATTCTTTATAGTGTTTATATTATTTACTAGGCAGTGTGTGTATCTTTATTTTCTCTTTCTTAAATTCCAAACTATTGGTTCAAAGAGAAAAAATCTTTGAAAGGAAAAAATCATTTTAAAAGGGTTGTGCTATAATTTGGGCATTTTATGCAAAAGAAAGGGTGTTTTGGGAGTTAAGACTTTATATATATGTTAAAGATAGAGATTTAAAATTATTACAAAATTATGATGTAAAGATGAATTTTTGTAAGAAGATTATGGATTTTGTTTGAGCTCAATGGAAATTAAGCTTACGAGTAAATGGTATTGTGATGACTTGGTATAGCAAAGGATGTTAGAATATTTTTAGATGCTATAGAAAGCCTAATATATAAAGCTTCTTAAATATAAAAGATTTATTAATAGATTTTTTATTATTATATTTATTTGGTATCTATAATAAGAATACATTATTTTTTAGAACTTATCTAATAAGTTAGAGCCAAACTCTTTGCAAATAAGTACATGGTGTATTTTTAGATAGAAAATCACAACATATGACAAAGTGACAACAAGACTTAGTCATGAAGTGACTAAGAGGAAATAAAAAGAGCCTCAAAGTGAAGATTCAATACTCCACTCATGACAAAACAATGCCAATTATTCAAAACAATGAGGTAATATCAAAACTTGCTTCATTTGTGGCAAAGTAAGATATTTTGTTTTAAATTATTACAAAGGTAGAAAGATAAAAAGAGAGAATGCAAATGATATGCAAGATGAGTTTGAAAGATAAGATTATATATTTATGGCAATAAATAGTACCTCCATGGCTGCTATACCAATATAGGTTATGGACTCAAGTTGCTCCAAGCATATGATACCTTATAAATATTTATTTGACACTTATGAAGTTATTTTTGCATCAAATGTGATTTTGGAGGATAATGGCACATGTGAAGTCATTAGAATTAGTTCTATTATTTGTAAAGCTGATTTACTAGGCAGTGTGTCTATCTTTATTTTCTCTTTCTTAAATTTCAAACTGTTCCTCTATATTTATATTTTTTTTGGTTAAGCTTGACTCTAGTTTTATAATTTATATTAATTGAGGATCTTCCCTTTACACTCTGGTGAACTGTCACATTATCCATAAACTTGTTATGTCGTGTTTTCTGTATGTCTCTTCATACATGTATATATTTGGGTGTCCGAAATCATTCACGTAATTAAATTTGATGTCTGAGATCAATCGTTATTGATGTGTGTACACAAAGTTATTTATCCTGCATAAAGTGTTGATATGTTTAGATAAATTCAATAAACCATTTTGACTTATTATTGAGGCAGGTTTGGTCGTCGAAGGACAGGAAGTTTCCGGCTGGAATGGCCCTTGGAGGATCGCAAGTTACTGAGACTTCGCAGAATCTGTCGTGTACAGAGAGGATGATTCTGGCCGGAATTGGCCATGGAGGGATGAACGTCACTTATTGCCCGCAGAATCGGTCGTCCTCTACGAAGACCTTTGTGCGGGGAGTGGGGCCTTAGTGCACCGAGGGGTGTTTTATGAAGAGAAGACTCTCGCCCGCCACAGCTCTCCGTGAATGCCCACTTTCGGAATGCTGCTCTGGTGTTCTTGGTCCCCTTGCAATCGTTTACGGGACGCTCTTTGACCCTCCCGCTATGCATTGCCAGGATTCTTCTAGCTGGTTCCGTTGCGTTGTCTGCATTGGTAGAATCAACTCCACGCGTTTCTACTCGTGCGGTGCGTTGTTGCTTTTGTGCCTCTTATGAATAGAGGAACTGTGCCGTCGGGATATTTAGGGCTTGAAAAAGCGATGTCACGTGTTCATTGATGCAGTCGGTGTTTTTCGGAGAATGGTTTAGTGTTCGGGGTGTTCGACTTGGTGGAAACCTGCTGTGTGGGAGGACGAGGAGATGATCCGTGTTGAAGAGTGTGTGGTGATGTGGAATGGAGACCGTTTCTGTGATTTGCGTTGGCGAGGATGTATTGGTCTTTGTGCAATTCGAAATTAGTAATGCCTGGGTGGTATCGTATTCAGGACTTGGTGATCTGTGGCGATCTGCTACGATCAGGTTGTCTTCTTGGTTACTGAAGCTAGGTTGGTGAGGTTCTTGAATGCGTCGTTCGCCTGTTTGGCAGTGCAAGCGAGCATCGATTTCTTGAACGAAGAAAGGATCTCCTAGGACCTGGTGTGTGGCGAGTGGCGTTTTGTGAGAAGTTGATTCAGGGATATACAGCTTAGTTCCAGTAGCGAGCGAATGCAAGATTGAAGTACTGGTGTTCGAGGTCAAATTACGGTAGCTTGCGAGGCACGTCGTGAGGAGGTATTAGACGGGAAGGCGGGATTCCATGTTTTGTTGTTGGAGAGATGAAGTGACGGTCATCCGTTGGGCAGCTAGAGTGTAACGGAGGCCCTCGTGGTCACTCTTTATGACTATGGTAGTGTATTCGTAGTTCTTCGCAAAAGTAGCAAGTGTCGATGGAGGATCACGGCGGAGCAAGTGACTATAAGATGCAAGGGGTGGGAGGTGGGATGCCTTTGGATAGAGTGTACAGCCAGGCGCGACGGGCGCTGCTGATGGTGCGCGATGGCTTGGAGAGGTTAGAGAGGTTGGAGATGGCAGGGCAGCATCCCAGCAGCAGCAGCAGTCCTAGCTACAGGGGAATAGGTGGCGTACAGGATTTGCAGGGGCAAGGGCCAGCGGCGCCAGATCTTGTAGAGCACCTGAAGAAGGAGATCGGACAATTGCAGATGTCGAGCGCCGATATGGACAGGATGTGGCGGAACCAGATCTTGGCGAAAGGGCAGCGGGACCTGTGGAAGCGACGTATCGAGCAAGTTGCGGAGGAAGTTGAGTCACTGAAGGCAGGGCTTGATCGATACCTTATGCGGCAACACCGTCGGCAAGTTGACGCTCAAGAGCGTGCGGAGCTTTTCCGTCGTGCGAGAGGAGACGGAGCCCACATAATGCAGGTAAGCTCCTTTCAAATTTGATATTTCGCAATTGGTTAGCATGTTATTTATTTATTTGTTTATATCGTCTGATGTTGTAAAGGTTTTGATCGATGTGCATAGATCGAGGATGTTGTACAGCTTATTCTTCTCAGTGAGAGAAACCATATAATTACCACTGATTCTTGTCCATGTGGATCACTGCGATTGTTTAGTGAAGAGTGTGTGGTCGTGTAGTATCAGCTGATAGTTGTGGATTCCGTTATGTGAAGGATTTTCTTAATTTGTAACTTGCTCCTTTGTAACTTCATTTGTTATGTTGCAGGTGCACGACCTCGACATGCAGGCACTGCAATCTGCAAAGAACTCATCACGAATGATAGACGATGCATATGCGACGGGAGTGGCTGTCTTGGCGCAGTATGCAGTCCAACGAGACCGCCTGAAATCTGCACAACGCAAGGCATATGACCTGTTGAACACTGTGGGGCTGGGCAACAAAATGATGCGGATTATAGAGAGACGACATAAAGTGGATCGATGGATCGCTTATGGGGGCATGTTTGTAACCATCGTTATTCTTGTTGTTGTGATCAGGTGGGTCCGATAAAGTCAAGTCTTTTAGGGTTTTCGTGTAGAATAGCAAGCAGTATGATAGGTGATCCAACCATCTGCTGTCTACCTGCTGTCTGTCAGCAGGTTGTTCTTCACAGCAAATACAAGTTTGCTGACAAATTATGTTCATTTCTTTGCTCAACATTTTTGCCCATTTGGTGCGGCGGACATGCTGAAGTTTTACGAGAATATCACCGCTGGATTTGCTTGTTTGTTTGCTGGCTTTCATATGAGAGTTTGTACACGATCTTTGTCGTAGCATTACTGCAGAGCTGTTTGCAAGGTTCTTTCTGTCTTTTTTTGTTCTTTCTTTGTTACGTTACTTGCTTGGCATGCATATGGTGAATTTGGAGAAGTACGCATGCAGGTTCCATGAAGTGACATAATTTAGCCAATAATAATAAATAGTAGTTTTATTAATTAATAGATTAGATTTATAAAACTATTTATATTTGTTAATATCAAATTAACAACTTAATAAAAAATAAATAATAACTTAACAAATAATTAATAAACAAATATAGAGACTATGAGCCTAGTATCATTGAGCTTCTTTAGTTTATGCCACAACATCACATCTAAATTCTTCCTAAAATGTTTGAGAAAAAACTTTTTGTTACTTTTACAAGTCATGTATTGAAGAAAATTTACACATAGAGACCTTTCTTCTATTAGAATATATTTTCATTTATTTTTTTCAATTTATCCTCCTACTTTGACATCTCGTAATGGGTCAACTCCAACACATTAACAACAAAGATTCAATCACGTTTTATCAAGAGTTGGGGACTTCACTTAGACAATTTTAGCTTCACTTCTTTTACCATTTATTTTATAAGTTTTTGCAACTTATTAGGTGACAGGGACAGAATAACAAAATATAACTTTTACTCTAGATATATTTAGATCATCTAAATATCAACTAGCTGAAACTAAGTATCCAAAACTCAAACAAAATATATGAGAAAGAAAACAAAAAATCAACCAAAGATTCAATGAAAAAGATTTCATAAGTCCAAACCTTATAGTGGTGATATTGCCCGAGTCAGACTTTAACAATTATGCACCTCATAGACAACATTTCATTTTTCGTTGACGAAAAAATCTTTTAACTTAGTAGCAATACAAGTCTTCACATAGTATTAGCAATCAACTCCAATTCTCAAAAAGCAATATTATAATGAAGATACAAGATAGAAAAAGAAATATACTACATAACAAATGTTTGACAATTAGTGTTAAAACCTTAACATCCAGGAATGTAACAGTACATTTTAAAAATCCACAAATACAATCAAATGTCAATGACTATAATACACAGAGGTAGCCTTCGAAAGGATGATCCTTCAAAAACAACTTAAATATGCAATGGAATCATCACTAGAACCGGAGCTATAATATTCCATCACACGTTACAATATTGTCAAATTAGGATACATTAAAAAATAATGAAAAGTTAAAAAAAGAATAAGAAGCAAGATTCCACATAATAGTAGAATGAACGAAGAGGATGCAATCGGAACAATGAGACAAACAAAAGCGCCCAAAAGAGAACACCATTAAACACAATCATGATAAAAGGATCTTGCAGCAACTGGAAGTAAAATGCAAAAATTGGAAACAAAGGAAAGCAAAATCTTTTGCGAAATATCAAGATACTCTACATCAAGCACGCTTCAAAACAATTGTGAGGAATCCAAATGTGTAGACCCTCTTCATTCTCAAGCCCATTAATCTCACTATAAAATATATATGCTCGTACAAATAACAAATACAAATGCACTCCTGCTTCTTTTTAGAAGCACAGCTTGAGGGTTCAAAGAGGCATCAAACTTCTGGAACCTAATAGGTGTTGATGATTGATTTGACCTTCCATTGTCTTACACTTCTGAAAAGTCGTTCGCAGTGAACCAGTTACAAGACTAGTTAGATTTCCAAACAAGCTGACGCGGACAACAGTCGAATGCCTCGGGAAATCTGTTGACTTCCTACACAAACCAAATTGGCAGACCTGATTGGTTGCTTCCTACATCTGTGAGGCTCTATGTAATCAGCCAACTCGTGACTGCTGGTATCCCCAACTCAGACGTTGAGAAAACAGATGCAACTATGATGACACTAATGCAAGATGATATTGAATCTACAGACTTTGGATGACATAAATTGCAGCAAAACGCATGAACTATTACCACACGAATTCCCATTGATACTCTGACCTGATTGCCTCCATCTCTCCTTGTCATATACCATTTCTCCTATTTCCTACCTCTAAAGAAATGCTGCACCAAAGCTCACAAGCAATGCAAGACTAAGAACCAACATCAAGATAACTACTGGAACTTATCGAGAGGTCTATTATTTACCAGCTGACCCAATACCACTTTTGAAGTTCAAATTGAACCACTTCTTCGACTGTTTGGCTTTGTCAGCACTTGATTCCTCAGTGGTAGGAGATTCGCTCTCATCTGCACTTACAGTGGAGTCTTCCCCAACGGCCTTGCCATTGCTGGTGCTGCTCACCTTCTTGGGGGCCGTCGGTACGGACGTGAAGGATTCTTGGATCTTTTCACGAGCTTTGAGCAAATCATCCACCTGTAACCCAAGGAGAAACAGGTTATCATCGCTTCTCCACCAAAGCAAGTCAGTTTGTCATAGTTTCGGAATCTTAAAAAACTTGTCTGTATGAGTTAGAATTATACCGCTTGTTTCTCTTGTGTATACTTGTTTGTAACAGCTTGAAAACGAGCCAATACCTGCACAAAAAAAATTATGCCCGTGCACAGGCTGTGAGATAAGTTATGATCATCCAAGCCAAACAGAAAGAACACGAAGAAAACTGGCAACCACGACGAAAGAAGGCGGTAGCAGCAGACATGAAAACACATCGTTCTAAACAAACATTATAATTACGCTTTCAAAAATAAATTCCAAATCAACTTACATCCCGATACTCTTTCTCAAACTGTCTTAGCTCGTTGCGTTTTGACAGTATCTGAGCTTCAACTTCCTTCAACTTGACTGCAGTTTCCAAGTATGCCTCAGCACAGATGGCCTCGATTGTGTAGCTGGCGCTTTTAAAGAAATTATCACCTTCAAAGGAGCAATAGCACTCGTCAGACTCAAAAATTGCTAAAATCACATAATAAGGTAAAACAAATAATGTGCCCTCCGAAAGAACGTGCCAAAATAGAAACTTAGTATTTCGAAAGCAAACATATCTGATACCGGGAGATCAGAGCATTACTCACCATACACAGCAAAAATGTGAGTGCCTGCCTTCAATTCTGACATTTCACAGGGTTGCAGACCTTCCAACCTCTTGAAAAAAACAGCATCTGGATCTCTTGATATTGCAAGCTGCATTCGCGCATGAAAAAGAGGTCAAGTACGGGCATATGAATAACAAAGAATGAAACCAATATTATACGAAGTAAAGGAGAATAAATGTAATTGCAATAAGTTACATGCATCGATTTCTTTAAACTATTCAGAGAGAGCGCGTTCGGTCGAGCACGGGGACATATAGCAAGGTGGAAGATTCAGAGGAATACCAAAAACTGAGGAGACTACACAAACTCCACCTTAATCAACAGAAGAAACACTAACCACTGTTGCAAACTACAGTTTAACTAAGCTTCAGAGGTGGACTGACTGTTAAAGGACAACTTTTAAAATTTCTTTAAAGATGTTCAAAATTACCAAAAATGAAGAAGTTGCCTGAATGACAAATAAAATCGATACAACAACTTGGCACTCGTTCAACCACTATATAACTTGAATAACTGATTGCAGCACAGCAAAGAATGCAGCAACTTACCGCATTGACTGTTGGGTCCAACCGATAAACTTGAAAATGTAAGAAATACATGCCGGCAGAAGTGACCTTTCCTGTCTTCACACTGTCTTCCTGAGCATGTTTTTTTAAGAGAGATAGTAAGAATATTGCGGCTTCATTCAATAGATTCGTCAAACGCAAAATCAATGTTCAATAACTTTTGAATAGTACATAGCATTGAGGTCTTAACCAACAAGACAAAATTAAAAAAAAGAAGAACAATAACAGTTCAATACGATCTTGCATGCTAAAGAATAAGCTGAGCGCAATCAAGAATCACTTGGAAGCGCAAAAGTATATAGCTGCTCTTACTGCGTTACTCTAATGAACGCATGAAATAATTGCCCATCACCTAAAACTCTTATATTTGCATCAAGACTGTCCTCAATTACCTGTAGCGCCAAACCTAATCCACCATTCTCTTCTTGCTCAAAGTATAATAACTGCAAAGACAGATACAGAACTACGTGAATGGTCGACTTTTTGTTATTATCCTTGGAAAAGACATAAGCAAGTATTAAAAGGTCACCACCTTCGTAGAAGAAATTTCATTAGAAGTTTGTTGAGTTCTGTAATATGCATACTTTGAACTTGCTCTGTACGTTTGAGACCACCCGTATCACAACACCTGCTTCTGCTTGTGCTTCAGAGATTGTAATACCAAAAAAGTTAGCCCCCTGCTTTTCAACCTGAAACAACCAGAAAATATACTTAACAAGACGGGAACCAAAGGAAAAAAAATATAAAAATAAAGAGATATTCACAAAAAAGAGAAAAAATATGAAAAACAAAAAGAAGAAGAAGATAAAAATTCTGTTCATGCAAAGTGTCACTCCGGAAACCCAACTAATCGATAAAGATACTGTATTGCTTCAACTAAGGGTGTAATCCAACCAACAATCCAAACCGCAACCACGGTTCAGAAAGTAATCCACGTAATATTCAGAAACTGGTGCTCCATTCAGCACGACACGAATTCTCAATAAGAAGTCTAGACTTAGAAAGCCAAATTTGGCTCACCTTATCATTCACAGGTCGTCCCAAGGGAAGCGGTCTTATTGTTACGGTACCGTTGAGAGCATCTTCCAGAACAGTGGCTGAGACAGTTGTTTTGATAGGAACACCCAACTTGCTGCTAGGAAAATGTAGCATGTCATCTCGAATGGCACTTCATACAGTATATAACACAAGACAGCGCTCATATTCAATCGTGTTCTGTAGGTGCGAGAAAGTTATACAAAGACGTGCAAAATGTTGTCAGAGGGGGGAAAGGAACAGTCCAGAAGGCATGACATTCAAGAGTAGAAGCCATACCTGAACAGCGCAGCAAACATAGTATTCACAGTCCCAAGGTTCGAAAGGTCCAGCTCCATGTCTAATCCCTCTAAATCAACAGCCTGAAACCATGCAAGAATTCCCAGGTTCATGAAGATTCATCGTCATTCGAATTTCAACTTTAAAATTCTTTGACCAAGGAAACCCTGAACTAATGGCACGTCAAACCACAAAAAAGTCATAATCTATGAACTTTGAAAACACAGAGAGTCCACCGCTAAAACATTGCGACCTTTGAAACTTAATTGGTGAAAAAACTATCATATAGTTGCATTTCAAGTGAGATACGGAAGACAAGTAGGACCAGATAGCGATACGTTAGATGATTATAACTACATTCTGAATGTATATACACAGAAGATAGTGACACCATCATCTGAATTTGAGGAGAAAACACATACATTAAATCCCGCAGAATCATACTGCCTCCGCTTCTCAGGATCTGATAGGATGCCATATGAATAAGCGACTTCCTTAAACTTTTCTGCAGCCTCTGGATTGCCTGTATTTTTGTCTGGATGATATCTGGTTTAAGCAACAATCACCGTGAAATAAATTTTCCAATTGTTTGGAAGCGCATCTTATGGAGGTCAACCCCAGCCGCAAAAATCAGAGTAAACCCGTGCAGTCCTCTACAGGAAACATGTAAAACCTACTGCAAGAAACTCGCACCGCCTTAATAATTCCAACTCCAAGTAATGAATCACATAAATGATGCTCTTGAATCTGGAGCCCTAGCTCATTTGCGATAAAAAGCATCAATCTCTGCACTGAACGCGGACAAACTCGATCGCTACTCACTAAAGAAAACCATGAATCACTTTTAATATACAGGGTTCCAGCTCCGATTGAAAGACAAACAAAGCATTTCTTCACTTGGTCCGACTAGGCTGCCTAACATTACTAGCATTGATAATGACTCAGTAAACCATGTTTTCAGCTCCAAGCCTCATACTTGGAAGGACATCCATCCTTCAAGGTAAGCCATTGCTCGAAAACAAATAAACACGAAAAAAAACAAACAAATATTAAATGGAGGGAGGCATGTTCCTAAATTTAAAATCTGGGATGTAATATTGTTTTTAAATGTTGCTGGGCAGCACTGTGTGACAACAATGCAGCAGACAGCGGAAACTCTAACAGGACTCAAAAATAATTTGTATCATCCCGACATGATGTTTAGGTCATAAAATTAATAATTGAACTTCTAGGGAAAGGGGAAGAGTGCACCACTTCATGCCAATTTCTTCTTCTCAAGGCTATAGTTTAGAATTTTATTAAGATAACGTTCATAATCCTCTAGCTAAAGATGAGCAAGCATCAAATCAAGAACACGTCCACTAAGGTTACATGGACACTCACTTCAACGCCAGCTTCCTGTACGTGCTCTTGATTTGTTGATCTGTTGCATCACGCGGCAAACCAAGGACCTCGTAAGGATCCCGACGCCCGGCATTAGGGCGGGAGACGACAGTATTCGTATCCTGGCCCCCAGCATCAGCCATGTCGTCCCACTCTCGCACTGATGCCTTTCACGTGTTCGTTGAACTCAATCCGAATCCGCAACGTATGATTTGATCGTCTCAATCACAGCTTATAATTTTGTACAGAACCATAAGTGTACCACCGTAATCATCTAAAGCGACCAGGAGGCTCTTCGTCGCACACTAGCTGTCCAACCGATCACTCTCACTTCATCTCACCAACAAAACACATGAAATCCCGCCTTCCCGTCTAATATCTCCTCACGACGTGCCTCGCAAACCAATGCGATTCGTCTTCAAACATCTGTATCCCAATATCGCATTCCTTCGCAACAGGAACTAAGCTGTTTGAATCCCCGGAATCACCTTATCACGTAACGCCCCTCGCCACACATCAGGTTCTGGGAGACCGCCTCCTCGTCAAAAAGTCGATGCTATCTCGAAGAGCCAACAGGTTGAAGACGCATTCAAGAACCTCGACAACCTAGCTTCAGCAAGCGAGAAGCCAACCTGCTCGCAGCAGATCGTTACGGATCACCAAGTCCTGGATACAATACCACGCAGGCATTACAAATTTCAAATCGCACAAAGACAAAAAAGATAAAAGATAAAAGAAAAAAAGCAACAATAATCACACAAAATGAATCGGCATCCGAATCACACCACGAACAAAACCTCATCAACGAACGTCACACAAAAATGGCCTGCTCTACACACACACACACGACACACACACATCGACACAAATCATCTCCTCATCCTCTCCCAACACAAGTTTCCACTAAGTCAAATACCTTAAACACTAAACAATTTTCTCACAAACACCAGCCGCATCACTGAACACCTAATTACAACTCTCAAGACCTAAATCTCTCGACGACAGAGTGGTCCAGCTTGAAACAAAGCACAACAAAAGCAAGAACGCGTAAACCGTACACTCAAGTAGGCATGGCCGAGGTTGGCTGTGCCTGCATCGATGACGACGCAAACAAGTTTGAGAAAATGAGCCCCTGGAATTGAACAGCTAGCAGATGATCGAATGAGCTCTTATGATTGCTGGACGAGGAAGACGGCAAGAGCAGCAGCACTCCAGGGGCAGTACATTAGTTGAGCGATGGCGGGCCCAAGTCTGCTTCTCACTGCAACAACGTCCGAAGCTCTGGACCCTTCGCTGCTCATGTCGTAGGAGATGCTAGCGGACGACAATTCTGGACGCAACTGACGTCGTCTCTGCTCGTCCACAACCTGTTCCGCGCAGAATCTGCGTCTCCCACCCCGACTTGACCTGGTGGCCATGTGGATTTCGAATTGTGCGTGTGACTATTAGGTGGCTTGGGTTTCCAGTTAAAATTGCCATCTGACGAGTTCCTTGCGACCCGTCATTAAGGAAATTTTTGTCGTAACTGTGGCTATGGTTTCGAAAAGAATGGCAGCCTCGGTAGCTGGATATCCTGAAGGCTCAAAAGATAAGATATATCCGTTATTTCTTTAGGGGTACAATCTCTTTCAAATCCGAACGAAGTGTCTGATGGCTTTCCAACCATCGATCCCACCTTATGCTTGGAATGCATCTCACTTGAATATGCAGGTTAAGGTATTGTTCGTAGTTTCAAATTGGAGGAATTTGATAGCTGTCGTGAGATCCCATCTGGGGCTGAATTGGGTGTACAATTGGCCTAGTCTTATCTGGACATTTAATAATTTGTGTGCAAGTGCTTCTTCCGAGACTTGCGGCTGGTTTGTTGTTCGATCTCGTTTCCTCGCATTTGTGCTCAGTGTAGATCAGGGTTTGTGTGAAGGGTTGGGAATTTGAAGCGGACGTGCTAGCTTGGGTCGATTGGTTGAGTGAATAGGGGTGTTGTTGAGGGTGTTGATGTGTTGGTCACCACCAGTTGCGCAGAGTGGCTTAGGGTTAGCCAACATTCTGGCTCAGGTCGTCATGCTTTCAGAGAAAGATATTCGTGGTGTGCTTTCGGTTGAGATCATGGAGCTTGTGCTGTCTTTTCTGCTGCCGACCGAGTTGTGCACATTTCTGTGCACTTGCAAGAGATGGAACGGACCGATCGGCGAGCCGAGCTTTCGTGAGGCTTGCATTCGAAGTTGGAGTAATCAATTATATTTTGTTTACGATGTGCGGTTTTGATCCCTAGTTTAGCATGTCTGGCTACTCCCACTTGACGTGTGCTTTCTCAAACTGGATGCAAGGAGCTGGTATTCAATTGAAGTTGTCTCTCGCGTGTAGAAGGATCTCTTCTGTACATCTTGGCTATGGACGACGGTATTTTTCTGCAGTCTCCCTCAAGATTACGCCACATGGACTCGATTACCCTTTGGCCTTTTTCGACCCAATTTCGACAATAAGGACACTGCTAGCTTCACATCATCTTTGAGTTTTTTGCCGATATAGCCACTTCTATGTAAGAAGTCACTCGCAGGTTCTAGGTATCTTTCGTGACGAGGTCACGAAGTCCTCAGTTTTGAGTGTACCTGCACTAATTATTTTCTAATGAATGGCGGGGATTAGAATAGCTATTTTATGAGCTTGAGAAGATGATTCCAGTTCCAACCGCTGACTGACACAGCTGCCAAATATCATGGTGCAGTGGATAAGGCATTAGTTTTTCCAAGCTACGACTGTCAGAAAAATGCGTGGGTCCATGACTGGCGGATTAATCTGCCCTGGGTTCTCTTGCTCGTTGTGGAGGACGAAGACTGTGTGATCGGGCAGGCAGCTAGATTTGATGTATGGGATGATTGATGTCTGGACAATAAAAAGGGCTTGAAGGCAGTACTGATAGCTCAGATAATAAGATCTCAGCTTCAGCTACTGTTTAGTGAGCAGGTCTCCCAGTTTCATCTTCCTAATGAAGGTTCTTGTTTCGACCGCACTGGCTTCTGCAACTCTCTTATTTATGTCAAATCTAGCAGGAAAGTTGACCGCGCATGATGGTCAGAGAGCAAATCTTTTGACACGACCCAGCTGTCAAGATCTCAATGAGAGCTTACTATCTCGTTGAAAGGCCATAAAGCTGAGTTTAAGTATTTCATTTTCAAAGGGCCGAGTCGCAAGCAGTTCATTAGGATGATACTGGGAGTTACGCGGACTTTGCAGTAATATTGCGATCGTCGTGGATTTTACATCGTGAAAATCCAGTTTGCAGGTAATTTGTATCAATTGTTTTATGTGTTGGCACATCCGTGTGACTGGATCTTTGACGCACATGATAGGGCGATCCAATCTGCACTAATATCTCTGATCTAGACGTTGTAATAACTTCATACTCTGCATCTCAAATTACAATTTTCGAACTGCAATTTGGAGCTGTCAGGTTTAGTAGAGAAGTCCACAATTGAGTTTCAACACATGAAATGTGGCACTGATTTCTAAATACCCTCACTAGTGAGAATGCCGCAATTAAGAATAGCTGGTATAGTTAAACCCGTAATTTTCAGCAGACTGGACAACTTAAGGTGTTCTCTCACAGCTGGGATTTACCAGTGAGTTCGATTTCTCTCATTCGACCGCTGCTCCGGACTTATCTGAGTGTTATCAAGTTGCTTGTTTCACGTCCTGCTAGCCAGCACATCAATGTTCGGCTGTGGTTTTTTTGATGTTTTTGATTGATATTCTAACTAATGTCGGAGATGTGGTAAATGCAAGCACCTCCCTGATGTGGGAATTTTAACTCACTGCATAATTGACGAAATTGCAGGATCACAAAGGTGGTGCGGATGGAAAGATCCATACAGTGGGAATGAATCTGAGATGCACAATGCGAACTTGCAGCATGAGAAGTGGGACGAGAAAACAATCATGCTGCATAAGTTTAACAAAGAAAGTAGGTCCTCCATGTTACTGAACACCCTGCTCTGCAAAGGCATGCACCCAAGATCTGAGACAGTGAGAGCCCACAGACTCACATCGCACCTGGAGGGGTGAAAGGTTTATTTTGCTACACGGTCGTGCGTGCATTAATACGAATATTCTAATAAAAGTCGCATTGAAGGCTGATCGCATCACAAAAAGCCGATGAACAGGAAAAAGATCCAGTGCTGCCGCTTTTAGCAAGAAACCATTCAAGTGGACTGAACGAAACTCGGAGGGAGTCGTGGATCTATATTCACACGAGCCGGCAATTTCTGAGCCCTAAAGTGCTGTTCTTAAATAGAGGATAAAGAAAATGCGTCTTTTGCAGCAGGGTAGCGATAAACCGAGGGAAGATCAAAACCATGCCACGGTCTGAAAATCCCATGTCATGGCGAAAAGAGGACCTCCAGTAGGCTTACCGGGGTCGTCCGACGGTTGAACCCAGTACGCTCTGTCTACATCCATGGACGCCATCCCAGTAGAAGCCCAGTCTAGATGATCTTTCGCCCTGCCTTGAAAATACTGGAAGTAAAACATGTTTGTCATGTTTTAGGCTAACTTGAAGCCATTTTTACTAACCTTGCACGGCGTGACTTTCTCGTAATGGATCCTCCCAGCCACATGGTTGCTTCAGAAAGTAGGGATGTTCCTGCTACTTTTTGTTGCTCTCATTCCCAACAGCCCTAAATTATCCGTAGTAACCATAGACAAGGAATCCGGTGAATGGATGTTCGTCGGAATCCCTCGCGTTGCGAACCACGAGTGCCGCTATTCGTGCCCTTCTTCATCGGGCGGCTGGAACTCGCACGGGTGCACATTCGGCGGCCGATCTTCAGCCCTGCAGTGACGCAGGTTGCGGAGCCCGACCGACGGAAGAATGCATCAGATGCACAACGGTCGATGCGCCGGATGTAAAATATAAAGCCAATAATTCTGTACATTTGGAGAAGTAGATAATTAAACAGGGAGACACAATCGTAGCTGATCCGCGTGCATACATATTTCAAGCTTGTGTCACCACTTGGTGCCTCCATTATTTGTTTATTTATTTATCGTTTCCCCACTCGTTACATGAGTTTCAGGCAAGGGTGGAAAGTATAGTTCACCACGTACTAATAATGAAGCAATTTTCTCAAGGCTGCTTTACAGTGGGTACTATGCATTCTGAAGTTCACTGAGCGGTTGGCGAGTCTAAACCTTTTCATAACACCACGATGCTCGACGGAAAATAACAAAGTTGTAGCCAGTTCATGCTGCAAAGAGAGTATAAAATTTTGGAGTAAAACTGAGCCTCAAGTTCTGGTGCAATTGTTGATAATGTTGTTGTCGGCCACGGTCTTCTGGATTTTCCAGTTCTCTACCGTCATCCAAATGCCTTCAAATAGTGACTGATGATGTCAACAAACGAGTACTTCCTGATGAAGCACAGTTCCAATCGTTCCAACATGAAGAACTAATGGTTACCCAAAATCATGCCACATGCGTTACTCAATATCATGTCACACACTTATCCGTATCATGCTTCGTGCTGCCACTTCCACAGTCAAGCCTGACACTATTGACATGTTGACAAAAAAAACCAATTACAAGCTATTCAATTCTTGGAGTACAATCTAGTCGTAGCTGGTTCATGAACAAATAATTAATAGAAGAGCTCCTTACGATTTGACTTCAATGACTCAAATAGATCGTCATTGTTCGCAAATGAATTGCAACTTGAGATTAAAAGATGTGACCATCACGTCCTGACAAGTAAAACTCATATATTCTTTTGTCGGCAATAACCAGGGGAACAAATACTTGCAAAATCGTAAGATTGTGGTGGGTAGCTTCCGTTCTAGGTCGGGAGTCGCGGCTAAGATTAGTTCGACCACAACCTCCATTACGGGGAGAATAGGCAGGCGCTGCATGCTGCCCAAGGTCTTATGTAGTCCGACTGCTGATTAGAGCCAATTTATGTGTAAAACATTGCGCGAAACATGTCACCTAATATGGCTGGTAAGCTCTGCAACTCTGCAGCCATCTCTAAATTTTAACAAGAAACATCTTAAGAGGAGCTAATAATAATCGTAGAATGTCAATGTGCTCTTATTTTGCATAATGTCTACAATTTCGTCCTAGGGTACATATTATTGGCGACTGCGCAGTCAGCTAAACCACGCCAACTAAATCAATCCAGGCGGCAGATTTTTATCAGCACTGCTCGGCCGGATGCAGCCTAAAAACCCATACACAAACATCGAAAACACCCAGCTTGTGAGTGACATCAGTATAAGCACAGCACGGATTCCTTCCAACTGCGTGAACAAGCTCAATTTCTACCTAGTTCTAAAAGACTGACAAACGAAGCCCATCGACTACGCGCCAAGAAGCTAGCATTTGACATTGCGACCCTCCCTGTGGTCCTACGCGGCCTGCCGATCTGCCACAGGCACAGCGCGGATCGTAGGAGCCATCATTTTCAATCAAATCCCTTCTCCGTGCAGACTGGCAAGACTGATTCGTCACCTATATTGGGCGCCCTCCCAGGTCTGCCCGAATTGCCAACCGTGACCAACTGCATTGTGGGTAGTCACCTTGCGCCGATCACCCGTCGTGATCTGGAAGGAAAGCGGCCCCTCCATCTTTTTTTGCACAGTCCAAAATGCACCCCAGTTCCGGTACATGTCACACCAATCAGAAGTAGGGCACTTGATCTTCACAGCTACCACATCACCTGCGCCAGCTACGTTGTGGATGAGGATCATCAGAAACCAAGGGTTCCCTCCCATCGTGAATCGAATTCCACCTTGCTTCGCACACCTGACCCTCCTGTAGTAGATTGGAACAACACCTCCCTCGCGTTTTGCAAGGGCCGTGAAAGCGGGCATTGGCAAGTCAAAGTGATGCTGAGGAGGATCGCACCATCCTCCCTCAGAGCCTGGAGGGCACAAGTTAGTAGCGGTGATGGTGATCCTTCGACCCACCTTCCAGCACCAATTTCTCTGGAGTAAATTCTTTGGAGTTTCGTGCACTGGAGCGCATTGGAGCTGATAACACGCCCCACATGCTGCTCCGCCGTTAAACAAAGGAGTGCTCAGAGCCGCAGTCATGAACCCGTACCCCAGTGACACTGTGTTCTGGTATCCGCAAGCGCCTCCCTGGGTTCCTCCACCGTTAGGCGAGCCGTAGTAGGTGATTCGGCCACTCGACCACCCTCTCGGTGGCGCACCAAGCACAGCAGGCGCAAACAGAACCAACTGAACGAGCAGGAACACCGCGAGCTTCATACAGGATGCAGCACTCATCTTCCTGTTGCTCGAACTGCAATTGAACATTGCCAACATCATGAAGAAGGCTGGAACAAGTACATACTCTTCCAGACCTTTCAAAGGAGGCTACAGCAATGATACCACCTTACAAGGCACGCAGCCTCTCTTATATCGACGCCTCACGCCAGCCAAAACTGCAATCTCGGCAACTACCACTCCGGATTCGGGGCGGTGCACCCGCTTCGCGTCACCAGTGGAGCGTCAACGAGCCTGCCGATGGCCCGAAATTTGCGTTACGATGTGGCCTTCTCGTATCACGGAGCTCTGAGGAGACTTCGGAATATTTGTCCGCAATTGCGAGTTCCGCCGCCTCCGTGACTCGAAAGTACAACCACAGCGGTCCTTTAGTACCATGCGGTAAGTTAGTAGGTAGATCTGTCCACGAGTTCATTAGTAGTTTCCTTTCACCTCACTTCCCTCATCGAATTTGCGAATTTAGCTGCCGTTGATTGTGAAGCTGTGGTAGTGCAGTCGATTTTCTGTTTGCATGATCGCACACACGCAACTGTTGGCGCTGTCGTCACGGGCATGAAATGAGGGAATTGTCCCTCAAGCGCCCACGTTTCCTTCTGAAATTTAATGAAAGCATGTTAAGGGGTTGACCTTGTCCATGGCACAGATCCGAACTGGAGTCAAAGCGGCCTCCCTTCGTTCGTCGTTGCGATCTCGCGGTTTGTCTAGATCGCGGCCTTTCCCCCGAGCGCTCACCGTCACGGCGACGACGACGACGCGGGGCCTTCCACGACCACGACCTCACGTTGCGGGTCGGAACTGGGTCCCCGCGTTGTGAACATATTAATAATTATTGTTTTACATCAATCGAAACCAAAACAGCACGAGCTAAACCCAATCTTTATTACATGAAGAATGTCTATACAAATGACAGATCTCCCTCAAACTTTCTTACTCTATCCCTTTTACACAAGGAGAAGTTATTCTTTTACTAGTTACATACTAGTTACTAAAATAATAATAATAATAATGATGGGTGGTGGTGGTGTTTGAAGCAAGACAAGTTTTCAGTGTCTTTAGGAATTTGGGTATTAAATATCAATATCATGTATAGATCTCGTCATTGACAATGCAAGGTATCTTAAAGTCGATTTCACTTTTTGAAAGAAAATGTTGATTATTTAATTTGTTTAAAAAAAATATAGTAAAATCAAAAAACAAAAATGGTTTTATAATATTATAGACTAGAATTCATCATGTATTTTCCAAAAGCCTTTATTTTATTTTAAAAATTAGCTTAAGTACTTATCATTGCATAAATTAAATTACCAACTATTTTTTTATATAGAACATTCTTCATTGTTTTAGCTTCTTTAAGGATATATATATATATATATATATATATTATGTCTCTTGAAATCTACTTAATAAACCTTTAAATATTCAATTGCAATAAATAAAAGAAATTTATTGATTGACTTTATTTTATTTATTATATATATATATATATATATATATATATCTATTACTTCTACATATAATATAGAAATAAACTCTTTTTTTGTAAAATTATATTAAATCATTAGCAATCTATTAAATTTTGACAATCTAAAAATGTATCTAAGTTATTTAATATTTCTTAACTATTTTTTATAATAATTTTTAGAAAAAAATTATTTTTAAGTTTTAAATTTATAATATTATAATTTTATATAATTAAGAAATTAGTTAGAAGGTTGTAATTTTAGTAAAAAAAAGTAGAAGAATAGAAAGAAAACATATGGATTGAAAATAGAAGATTGTTTGTAAATGCAAGCCTATATGATGGATGGAAGGCTAGAATAATGAAGATATCAAGGACATGAATCACAATAAATAAAACCTCAATACTTTCTTGTGTCACTTGGAAAAAATAAATATTCACTCAAAATTAATATAGTATTGAAATTAAAATGACTATTGCCAAAGATAAGAAGACTAGAGACTCTTAAAACAAAACTAAGATCTAAAAAGATGTTAACAAGAGTGAAGAATGTTTTACTCTTATCTCCATATATACTATCTAACTAGGAGTCATATGAGAATATTTTATAAGATCTTTGATACATATCCAAATTACAAGATACTTGTTGAATTTACAAGCTAAGTTTCACATGTGCACCACATGACAAACTTCTACCACAAGTGGCAAATATTTGTAATATATAGTCAACTTGTTGGTTAAGTTTTCAACCTACCAATCACCTACAAATACAAATATAATCAAATCTATTTACTTTTACTTCTATTTAATTCTTTTGGTTTAAATAAATATGTATGTCCATAATAAAAGACCACATTGAAAAAGATTATTGAAAAATTCTATCCATACAATAAAGACATTTTGTCAAGATCATGAATCTTGAAGAACTAAAAGATAAAGATACTCTTATATCAATCAAAAAGGTTAGATAATCACTCAAAGATGATAGAATATTAAACTAAAATGGCTATTGCCAAAGACAAGAAATCAAGAAAGTCTTAAAATAAGACTAAAGACTAGAAAGATATTGATGAGAGTGAAAAAGGCTTTTGTAATGAAATATGGATAAGATATTTGTATTGTTGACTCATAGAGATAAATAATTGGAGCCATGTTTGGGAATTTTTTAGAAGTTTCAAGAATTAGGAGTAGGTTGGTGGTTTATATGAAACCTACCATAGAACAGTCTAGGATTTAGCATGGTTATCTAAGTAGGGCTCATTATTATGAACATTTTAAAAAGTTCCAAGATAGTTGTACAAAGTATAAATAACATTGACTAGGATTATTTGGATATCTGATCAAATATAACTTTGGTTCTTTTCTTTTAGTAAAATTTGGTTTTGCACTTTTTTGTTCAATTCTATTATATTCTCTCTTGCTCTATTTTTCTTTTTATATTTTATTTTATTTAATTTTATTTGGATTTATCTTATTCTATGCTATAATAAGATATATATTACTATAGATTAAAAGGATCTTAGATCTTAGAGATAATTCAATCCCATTTCATTGATATCAAAGCAAGTGTTAGTTTATTCTTTGATAGTGTGTTAATAGCCACTCTTTAATTGTAGTTTAGTTATTTTAATCACATTAGATACTATTTTGGAGCTATCAAGCATTATTTTTAAGAGGTCAGTTGGAAGAAGAGAAGACATTGTAGTGTCAAGGACATACACTAAGAAGTTGTAGAAGATTCTAAAAGATTTTAGAGAAGCTTTGTAGTTTGTAGAAGCTACTTGAGAAGTTTTCAAGCTCATGGAAGCTGCTTGAGAAGCTTCCTAGCTTGTAGTATATATAGGAGCTGAGACTAAGGGGATCCTTAGTCTCGACAAAACACCTCTTGGAGCTCTAACTCACCTCTCTAGTGTTGTTCTTGTACTTATCTAATTAATCTAGTCCTTGCCAATTCTTCTTGAGCTTCTTGTTTAGATTTCCAGTCAGTATTCTAAATTCGTGACAGTTTGTCGAGACTACACTCATCTTTCATATCAGAGCTAGTTCCTTCTTATTAGAGTGGAGATTATCCCTCTACTTGAAGGTGCTGGTATTTTAGAGGTTGTGGATTATCCTCCTCTAAACTAATATTTCTTCTATTATAATATTTGAGTCTTATCTTTCTTGGAGAGAGTGGATTACTCCTCTTCTTGAAGGTTTTAAGATATTTTAGAGGTTGCGGAATACTCTCTTCTAAATCAATACTGCCTTCTTATACAGTCATTTCTTTCCTTCTCTTAGAATGGCCAGAGGTCAAGATATTAGTATGACTAAAAGTTCAGAGTCCAAGTTGGATGCCATTATAAATGTTCTTGCTACGTTATCACAGAGAACTATAGAGATTGAAAGAATCATTGCAAGACTTCATGATAATGGAGCATCCAAGATGGCACAATTGAGGATTCACCAACCTCAAGCTTTAGCACGAAGAGAAGTAGCTTTGCCTCTAGCTCAACAAGGACTGTTGGTCTTACAACGAAAGGAATCCCGAATTAGCCTTCCAAACAAGTTCGATGGTATATGTTCTAAGTTTTGAGGTTTTATCAATCAAATTAGATTGATAACAGCTTTATAGTCCAAACGCTATCTGACGGAGGAATCACATGTTGGATTGGTTGGAACTTTGCTCACGGAGCAAGCTCTATCATGGTTTGCTCCTTTGTTTGAAAAAGGATCATCAATTTTGAACAACTTTGAAACTTTTTTGGAGGCGTTTGTAGAAGCATTTGACAAACATGACAAGGCATGATGGGCTACAACAAAGATCCGGTCACTACAACAAGGAGCACGCTCCATGTCAGTCTATGCATTAGATTTCAAACAATTAGCGTGTGACATCAATTGAGACGAGAAAACATTGATGAGTCAATTTTATTGGGATTTGAAGGATGACGTGAAGGATTTGTTATTATGTCTTTTTAATCCACGAACGCTCAACGAAGCTATTAGCGAAGTTGTGAAGTGCGATAATTACCTATTCCAAAGTTACCAAGATCAACGCTTAAAACAACATATGGCTCAACATGCTCCAACTATGTCAGCAAGCAGCTTGAATTCACATTCAGAGATGGAAGACATACAAATTGACGTGATACGTGTCAAATTCCTAACTCTAGAAGAAAAAAAATGGCATATAGAGGAAGGACTATGCTTGTATTGTAGTGAAGAAGGCCACAAAGTTGGAAACTGTCCCAAGAAGCAAAATCGATGCATTATCAGGACTAGAGGTACATTTGTTCAAGAAAACAAGGATGGTTAGCTATAATAAGGACTGTGTGGCTGGACAATTCAATACCACAATAATAATCAAGTTCCTCTCTTTTTGCTCAGCCTGCCCATTGTTTTACCATTCCTCTATCTTTTGGCCCTCAAAAATTAAAAACCTTAGTGTTATTAGATTCATGAGCATCTGCTTGCTTTTTAGACAAAGAATTTGCTAAGCGTCAAGAAATTCTTCTAATACAAAAATCTAAACCCGTTCACGTAGAAATAATAGATGGACGACTTTTATTGTCTGGTAGTATCACATATGAATCAGAATCTATAGAGGTGACGTTTAAAGACCATAATAGTTATATTATTTTTAAAATTATTAGAATCCCATCAAACCCTGTTATTCTTTGTCTTTCTTGGTTAGAAATGTATAATCCATCCATAGATTGGAAGTTACGAAGGATGACATTTCTTGTAGAACA